GTAGTGAGATATATACTCATTAACATGTTTTATTATTTTGGTCGAGACCTGATCATACCCTACACTGTTTGTGTTTTTCATTTTTTTATAATTAGTCTTAGCTGTTGGGGTGAGCTTGGTGCAAAAAACATAGAGCTTGCTCGACTCTCAATAAAACGAGTTGCATTTTTTCCTGCGTCTAGAATAGGTTTGATTTTATCAACGAAATGATTATTGAAAGCTTCGGCTATCTCTACACGGTTATTAATAATATTGCTATTATCAATTTTTGTTTTCAATCAATTGTTTTGGTATGTTGTGTCTTGATTTGTTTATGATGCACTATGCTGGTTTGCATTTATTATTTGAGGTGAGTATGTTGTGGTTGTTTTGTGCACGTTTTGTTAGTGTTATAATTTTTATAAACAGTTTACTATATGTCTGGTATTCTAATTTGTTGTCAATTGTAGGCTTTAATCTGTGTTTCCAAATCTTTTTTCTTCTTACTGCAAATTTTAAGAGACACCCATTTCAGAATGCAGCTAGTTCGATATCATTATGTGTTATCCTAATGTAATATCATTATGTGTTATCCTAATGTAATATCATTATGTGTTATCCTAATGTAATATCATTATGTGTTATCCTAATGTAATATCATTATGTGTTATCCTAATGTAGCACTAATTTACCCAGTCTTATCCGATAAAATGGTGTATCGTATGTTTATGGAGATTCCCCGCTATGTCCATGTCCGTACCTGTGCCAATCCTGTGGTAGTTGCAAATTTATTTGAATAACCTTCGGGAAATTGTGTTTCTTTAACTGAAACAAAGCATACTACCACTGCTACCGACATATCTGTATCAAACGGGTTATCAGTTCAGTATTACGTACGACGTACAGTATAGAGAGGGCGCAGTGAGAACCGTAAATAAGTTTTGGCATAAGATATCCACCTAAAAAATAATATACAAAACAGATGACATTATCACATTATCAACGTCAACATGTCCACAGGTGTTAGAGAGAATGCGCCGAGCGAGGCGCCAGGCAGCCGCCGAGTGCATCCAGGCGGCGTGGCGCCAGCACCGCGC